AGCATCTATACCACATAAAACCTGTAATCACTTTGTGCATAACAATTTCGAAATTGGGCGTTTGCTATCCAATCGCTTTAAAAACTTGATATGAGAGTAATTGCAGGGAGGACCTGAGCAATATTCCGAAAAAAATTCTCATAAAGCTCCAGCCAAATTTGAAATATTTCAAAAATACCATGCGTCTATATTTTTGAAATGGACTGTAGCTACAATTTGACACCAAGCGTGCCATGGGTCCAGCGCTGCAGCCCAGTGAAATCGCCCCGGTGCTTGTACGACGCCGAAAAACGAGATGCAACAGCCGCTTCTCCCTCTCTCCTAGCTCAATTGTTGTACGGAGTCCTGCAAAACCAGGCTCTCATCTGAATCAGTGTCTCTTTGGCAACACTCAGCTGTAAAGGGAAAACCCCATCCTCAAGATACAGCTCGCCCACTCAAATCGAAAATGAGCCGTGACGCAGATCGCGAGGGTCATGCATGGTAGCCTTTCACTCTAACGCTTCAGCGATTGTTCCTACAGATAGCCTGTAGGTTGCTCTTCAAACAAAATATTTTAGATGTGTAGTTTGGCCAAAAATCGCTTGAGTGACAATAGAGTAAATTGTGTGTTGCCCTCTACGTGGGAGCACGTGCTTTTCCTGCCAACTAATTACTTGAATTTTCACTTGACTTGCTCATTACTGCCAACCAGAGCACACGAGAATTCCATTGAACCTTCCACTCCGTAAACCTGCAAGAAAACACCACTCCCTGCTCAATACACAGTCTTTCGCAGAATTAACCCCTTATCAGTAGAGCTTGAGTAGGCTAATGAAATTCGTGCTCTGAGAGCACTGCATTATGTAGTGCTCTCCAAGCCTAAATCACCACTGAGGATACCAATTTACAGTGACACTCCGTTTCCGGCGCAAACGACAAACACACGGCGAGCTACAGACAACAGCGTGAGTCAGTGCTGCTCATTGAGGTGCTGAACAAATGCCGAGGACGTTTGACCATTCACGACTTACGGTGGTTTGGGAGAAAAAACGATCGCTGGTGCTCGATTTTCTTGTGCGAGACCGTGAAAGGGGTGCGGATTCTTGAAAACATGAAACTTAGCTATCAACCTGAGACTAGCCTGACACACAAAATAAATGATCTTTCTCATGCCTTTTGGCCACACTGACGTGCAGGGGGACCCTAGTATTATGGTGATCACCTACGCTCTATGTGTCATGTGGATAGGTGCAGAAAACGTGCGTGATAATGTGTTATTCTTCGCGGCTGCTTCTGCTGCTGCTGCCACATCTGTTTCCGAGCGCAACTTTTGTCTTGCAGAACCTCTCCAATTGATTCGTTAGGGGCTGGTGGGTAAAGGGATCAAAAAAATGTCGTTTTCGCTAATGCGTTGGGGTGCGGGCAATCTCTTTTTCCACTTAAAATAGGCAACCTGGCAACGCTTTAATAAACGTCTTTTCTTCTGTATTCTTGGTGGCGGGATAAGCGAGGTTTTACAGTAATGCTTGCAGTCGGTGTTCTTTATCAGCTGGTCCTTGGATAAGCAAGGTTTGACTGTAATGCTAGTATCCGCTTCTGTACAGTTCACCTTGCGAATAGCCCCCCCCCCCCCCTCCCCCGATCGGCCCAAGGGAAAAGTGTTGTGATTCGCGAGTTGCCGTTGTTCTCACAAATTAACGTATGCCGTCTAGGGGTTACTTGGTCTGAAGGTAGTGTTGTAACTGACTTTCTCCACCTGCTCCCAGCCCCGTGCCATCTCCACACTCAGACAATAGGACGACAATAACCACATTTGAAAGACTGTTTAGGCCATCATTTTTTATATCTATGTTTCGCGTCAGTTCAACTTCAAGAATCATATGCGAGAGGTGGAAAAAAATAAAAAGTTGCAAAATAATAAAAAAAGCTCATCAGAGGTGTATAAAACTGTACATAGCACAATAGCTCGTGCATGGTGTACATCCGAAAGAAAAATCGTACATCGAAGCACAAGATCTGCATCACTTTGGACAGAGGAGGCAACCGTTGGTACCCATGCTTCCCTGGATTATTGTACTCAGCCTTCAGCAGAGGTGCAAAGAGCTCCGGAACGACGCATCCTCTCAGCTTGAGGCGATCGATGCGGTCTGTTGTAAGCTCATAGAATACTGCTCGCAGATGCCGAACAAACGATTTACCAACGCTGGCCTCGAGGCCATTTCTGAATCCCAGCTTCGCCGTATGCAACCAGTCCACACTGATGACTCGCACGATCGTACACTACGGGCGCGTTTGGTTGGTACGAACTAGAACAGGATTCACCAGAACAGCGCGTTTGGTTGGGACTGCACCTGTTCTGGGTCGGCCAGAACATGTTCTGCTTGCTCCGGCCTCGAGGCCGGAGCAGACCGAGCAGTTTCACTTTTTCACAGTGAAACCTGGCGGGAACATCGATTTTGTTCCCAAATGATCACGTGCATACGCTTTTGGGTTGGACTCGTCGTACCGTACAAAGTGA